GGGGAAAACTGCCCTGTGCCTTTGTTTCAGGATCATCCCCTCTACGGTCAGTGAGTGATGGCCAGAGTTGTGAGCCTCTCGGGGCTGAGGAAAGGCCACCCTACAGCTCAGCCACCCGTTGATTGTGCAGAGGCAGGTCTGCAAGGGGCTATTCTGCTGCTGTGACCACCCTGGATGGGATTCAGGGACTCTGGGCTCCCTCTGCGTCCAGCACCGTATTGATTTTAATAGTGACAACTTAGAGGGGAGCAGAACAGACTGTGCTTCGTAGACAGAATTGAATTGTTTTAAAGTTTTTAAACAAGCTGGCTGTCTTCCTGGACTCTTAAATTAAAGGGCAATTAAGTCACTCAGTCTGGAAAGAGCTGATGCATGTTTCCTGGTTTGACTCTTTAAAATTTTGCCAGAGTGATTAATGCAATGAAAAATCGTCAACTCTCAAGTCAGGGCTGTCAGCCAACACTCAAAACATTTATCTAAGCACATGCTCAGACTCTTTTGGCCTGTAGATAGGAGGAAATGGGACAAAATGAGGGTGTAAGAAAGAGCAGCTGGGCATATAACACACTGTCACACCAACATTTGTACCTTAATACTGACAATCATCATGGGAGGAGAAAAACTGCTGGTGCTTCACAGGAAGTTGACTTTTTCCCCCACGATGAGGAAAAATCTGGCTAAACATCAGCCCCAGCTCATGGCCACTTGTCAGTTGCTGTTTTTGTTAGGTTATATGCAATTAATATTTGTGCAGCAGGTGCACTGCTCCCAGCACAGAGGGAGCGCACGTGAGCACTGCCCTGGTACGGCTGCAGCGCTGCTGCTGCACTGGCAGCACAACCCTCCCTTCCCGCTGGAGCTCCACGATATCCTGCTAACACTGCTGAGAATACGCAAGAGCTCCAGGCTTTCCCAGTTACTAGAAATGCCCACGATCTCCCTCTCTTTGATTTCCATGCTCCTTCCTAACATTTAAAAGCTCCAATCTATTTTGTTTCTTCCGGGATTGCTAACCAAAGCTGACTCCTGAATGAATTCTGTCTCTGCTTCGGTTAGTCATCCCTTCAGGACAGATTTAGTAACTGCTCAGGGAAACCACGTAGAAGCCAACAGTTCACCGTCGGAAGGCAGCACCCACTCACTGTTAACTTCGAGCTCAAAAGCTGAAAGTGCAGCAAGTCAGCCAGAATTGGGAGTGAGCCTCTAGCCTCACCTGTTGTGTAGGAAGGTGGATAAATTGATAGGTACCTAGTCCCGAACATGACTGCAGGCTCAGGAAAGTTGCTGCAGTGTAAAATAACAGAGTAGAGGCAGCAAACAGCTGCAGCAGAGCTCACCCTCCCCGTCCCTTGGGGCAAACGAACCTCCTGCACGACTGTAGCTCGCCGAAGGGCTGCCAGGGCTCCTCAGAGTGCGGGGAAACAGCCTGGACTTCCAGCGTGCGTCCTTCCGAACCGCCGCAGGGCTGGCAGCACACGGACCTGCCCCTGAACTGAAGCAAATCCCTCCTTGAGGTGCAGGATTAGTAAAGTTTTAAGGCTAAAGAACTGCCTGTTCAAAACCAATCTCCCTTATTTACCGGTTGTGTTTATTAAAGCCTGCGTGCCCCACCAGACTTCTACGTAACACTGGCTGACCACAGGCACACCATGTCAAAACTTGCCCTAATAAGCAACAATACACCAGAGTAATTTAATGCATAAATATGAGTCACAACACTGATGCTTTCAGGTAAGGACAGTTTATTTGCCCCTTTGAACAAATAAGGCAAGATATCTGAGAAAGATCAAACAAAATCTCCTGTATCAAACTCAGAGGAATGCGATAAAAGTTACTATTTCATACATATACAAACTAATGACCCAACACTATTATATACAAACAGCCAGATCTTACAAAATAGCATTTCAAGTCAGCACTTTATGCCAGTGTTGCTAATTTCTTTGTTACAAAAAAGTTAAAGCTACAAACTTCACATTTTTAAGTCTCACATGACTGACATCATCAGTATCTCTGGGTTTTAGAAGCGAAGGTAACAGTTTGTCCAGAACACTTTCAGCAGTGCAGATGGCCCCAAGGAGCACACGAATGCAGCTTCACAACTAAACCAGCATTTCACTTTAAAACTTTGTCGGAACAGCTTTTCCTTACGGTACGAGCCTTGGTCTTAGCCTGGAGGACTCTGAGAAATGAGCAGGCACTATGCTCTTAGACACTCTACAAAGGGACCAAAAAGGGAATTATTTTCTCTAATAGATTGAAAATCAGTGAAGGAGAAAATAATTCCTCTGCATCACAGCTCCAAGTGCAAGAAACATCATCAAGTCTCAGCCACTGCAAGCATTTATGAAAGGTTCAAAGACAGTTAAGCCATTGGACCAGTTTTACTGATTTTGGTTCATTTGCTGTATTTTAAGACAATCACATCAGCAAAGCAAGAGGATTTCAAGAGTGCTTACATTCAGTTACGGCAGTCACAGGTTGCATATTCTGTAAATAGACACCACCCCGTGGTGTTTCACCTAAAACTTGGGTTTTCTAATGCCCTCCAACCACTAGAAAGTTACCTACACAGTGCAGAGGTAAAACTACTCCCAACAGGATCCACTTGATCCACACCACACAAAAGCAGTGCACCATTTACTACATCACAAATCCACGTCTGTCACAGCAGAGGTGTTAGGCCAGATCCATCCAAGTGACTAATACAAGATCCAACACTCGACCAGAGAACTCCCTCCTGCGTTGTGAGGGTTTCTTTGATGCAAAGGGTGCTCACAAATATTGCTTGTAATAAACACATGTTTAGGGCAAAACGTATTGCACAAATTTCAAACGAGCACTGCGTGAGCTCTGCTGTTCGCACAGCACTTCACTAGACATCTTGGAGAGTCCAGACTAAGGGATTTTAGTCCATTAACAACAACAAAGCTTTTAGTTACTTGTTTTTCCCAATTCAAAACTTTCCCAACACTTGAGGCTATCAAACAGCTGGTTATCCCAGCACGTACTCTGACCTCAGCGCACCAGGTACCTGCCTACTGCCTCCCTTTGCCCTTAGGGACTACTGGTTTGCTTGTCTCTAAGACAGCTGTGTTCACACTGCATATCAAATGGAGACAAACCGACGCAACCGGATCTTCAAAGGGGGTAAAAATGGCTTGGTTCCTTTCACAGCAATGCAGTGTACCTGCTAACAGTAGCCAAGAGTCTGCTCCAAGGGGAAAAAAAGAGCTTATGGAGGCATGAAATGAACACCTCTCTAGCAGCACTTGATCCAGGAGACACTGCTATTTACTTTAATTATCTAGGTGATGCACCAAGACCTATTTCAGAAGCATGACATGGGAACTGTTCCCTCTGTCAGAGCAAAATAAATCGGTAGAAATATTTGCTCTGTCTGAATATTTCATCATATGCTAGATACATCTAAAACCACGCAACTCTGCTGTTACAGCCCATGGGGCAGAGGCACCACTTCGTCTCTGCCCCGTAACCAGGCTCACTTCTTTGCTGCTTCTGTTTTATTCTCCACTCTTACCAGTGTGAGTTCATTGCACTATCCTCACAGCGATTGTACGTGCTGGGACGTTTCCATTGATTGAGCTATACTGGGCAGGAACGGCAGGGAGATTGAAAGAAAGAACACAAGAACATCCAGAGGAACTGGAAGAGAAGAGACTGAATCTCTTCCAGTAGGACATCAGTAATTGTCTTCTCATCCAGACCAACTCTGCCTTCGCTCCACCACCATAAATGCACATCTTTGTTAATTCAACAAAGTCTTAACTTTCAGTTCAACTTTTCTGATGCGCTAAACCTTGCAGAAATGTGAAGGATTGTGAAATTAAGTTCTTATTCAAGCATCTAAAGATGTAAATCTGAAATGAAGCCTATAAAATATTTCACAAACTGTGGAGATTAAGTCCTCGCAGACACAGCAGAAGTACCTAATTCCTGAGAGAGGTTCACACAACTTCCACCCATTCAAATACTGTTTCCTTGTCCCGTACTCCACCATCAGCAGGGTCTCCCTGAAGGACATTTCCAAACAGAGAGACGAAAGGGAATCCGATCACTGATTGGCTTTTGGTTTTAAGTTGGTGTGGATTTTAAACTGCAGAATGTAATTTATGACGGAGGCACAACATGCTTTATCTACTCGTATTAATTTGTGAAGTACACATAAAGAGGACAAAACTGAGGTCTTGAAGAAACCACGCTTGCTTAAAGCACACAGTGTAAGGCATGGGGCTTATTACAGGCTTTTTAAAAAATGGGATTTAAGTTTCTTTCAAAAGGCTGGAACAGTTTGTACATGTTCTCATCTGCTCTCTTCAGTGACCTAAAACTTACCAGTACCTTAACAGTAGAAAGATAGTTAACAGCTTGAAATTGAGTCTGTGCATTCACAAAGAAAAACAAAACCAAAAAACACAAAAGATGCAGCCGTTAAATACAACAATCCGTATTAACTTAAAACAAAATGGACTACTGAAAATTCAGTTGAAAAGAGAGTGAGCCAACTTTCATTAGCCTATTTCTATCTGTTCCTCTGATTTAAAAACAGTCGAAAGATAGTTAACAGCTTGAAATTGAGTCTGTGCATTCACAAAGAAAAACAAAACCAAAAAACACAAAAGATGCAGCCGTTAAATACAACAATCCGTATTAACTTAAAACAAAATGGACTACTGAAAATTCAGTTGAAAAGAGAGTGAGCCAACTTTCATTAGCCTATTTCTATCTGTTCCTCTGATTTAAAAACAGTCACAAAACTCTTTCGGAATAACGTTTTAAGTGTATGTCTAACATTAAAACATACCATCAGGATTTTCCACTTTTTTTCCTGAGTTCACAAAGGTGCTATGGAAAAATAAATGAGCAGAAGTATTGCCCTCTCTATTTTGCTAGCATATTTCAATAGAAATCAATCTGTTTAGTAGTCATAAAAGCAAGGAGCTGATTGTTTGAGGACGGAAGAGGATTCTACCAGTGGCTCAGAAGTTCTGCTGCCGTCGCTTCTTGGCTTCAATGGCATCGAGGATCGGCTGCCGCTTTGACTGGTACTTCTGGCGTATTTCTTCAATCTCCTGCTCCATCATGGGGTCCAGAGCTGAAAGCCTCCTCTGAAGTTCATCGACACTCCAAGTCTTTAGCTAGCAGAGAGACAGAAGAAGAATAGACACTGGCATCAGTACAGCCACCATTCTGCTGCCTGTCTGATGGCCATAACGCATCTTCCAGTAGAAGGTGGAAGAGTTCTGCTCCAGGCTGCTGGGCTCTCATCTCAATGAAACTGGCGCGAGCCTCAGGATACTGGATTGCTTTTGCTCATTTTATAGGTATATTACATGCTCTGTTTAGTGACAGCGTGAGTGTACAAAACAACCAGTGAAATGTTTCCCCCGTTGAGTTGTTTTTCTAAAGCCTCATTCTGCAGGCTTAGAACAGAAATGCTGTACTGAGGTGGAACAGAAGCGAAGTTCTGTTCCCCTCCCCTTTCCTTGCAACTAAACTTCCTTCTGCTAACTGACAAAGGGAGACAGAAGGGAATAGTAAGAAAAAAAAAAAAATGGACAAAAGTTGCAGTTGGGAGGTGGGGGAAAAGCATTTATGTACAATCAGGCTGAATCTCAATCGTGGTGAGGAATTCAGACTCCTCTAAGTCAGAAATCCCAGAACATACACAACAGGTCACTTTGGGTCAGCCTCATACCGATATAATATGCAAGTACAATTTGTATTTTACTGTATACGTGAAGATGTCAGGCTAGTCTGGACAAGCTTCCCTCCACTGAATTCCCTACCCGCTTGCCCTTTGTTTAATTGGTTCTCTTGTGCGTGCCAATTTGCTGAGAACTGGCGTGGAAAAGTTTTATAATGTGATTAGAGATGCCAAATGTGGCCTGGGACAGTCTAGATTGTCCATAGCTACACCCTTTACATAATATTATAACCTGTGGAATAGATAGGATTTTAGGATAATGTTAAAAAACTCGGACACTGGAAGCGCTTCAAATGTTCACCTACATACCAGTCCTTTCCCCATCCAAGACCAAGTGATCCCCAGAAACACACGGGAGACACTGTTTTTCAGCCACTGCAGCAGAATGGGAATGACTATTTGCACCACCTGCTTTCAGAGACCACCTGCTGTGGAAACTATGAACATGCAAAATAATTTGGGGTTTTTTAGTAAACGAAGAAGTGTCAATTTTTAGACTTTAAACAAACGTTGTAATTGAATGACTTATCTTTACTTCAGTTAAAAGCAAGTGACACTGCTGTCCTGGTTTAGCTGTTAATTAGTTAGCTATCATCGTTATTCTTCAAGCCATTTCTGAACAAAAACACACAGTGAGATGCCTGCTGCCTATTGTAAGGCAATAACTGAATTACTGGCTGTTTAATGGCAGTTGGAGAGATTGCATCAGTCCTTAAAACGTATGTAAGTACTAAAGTAAGAAAATCCTGATCCTTCTTCCTGAAGTGAAAGAGACACCAGATCCCAAACCACAAAGTCAGCTGCTAGCTGATTTCTCACAAGGTCTTTTGAAATTCTGTGGCATATTCTGCAAAATAAGATATTTCCTAGTTTCAGTTACAGGATCACCAATCCACTTTAATCATCTAGGCACAAGCAAAACAAAACCTTTTCAGAAAGGGTATACAGTCTTTGGGCCACTCCAATCAGCCAACTGTTCATTAAAAAGACAAAGCACTTCCTCCATAAAGATATACATTATTTATACACATTAATGCAACTTTACCAGACAGCACTTTAAGTTGATGCATGGCACCAGTTGCCTTTTCACACTAATTTATTATGGAGCAGGTAATTATTCAGCATTCCCCTTCCTCACAGTCCAGGGATTGAACAGTCAAATAAAAATGCAAAAAAGAAGAAAACATTAATTCAAGGACTGAACACATACACTAAGCAGCTATATTGGCTCAAACGGCTGTCAGCGCTCCCAGAGTACCCAGCACTAGACTACTAAACAAGAGTTTTGGAACAGATCTAAACCACCCTGCTCTCAGCTTAAGCCAACTATTAGGTGTCAGAAATTGTCCTGGGGCTGCGACCTTCCATGGATGCCCTTTGGGTCTGCTCCACCACCCTCCCAGACTGCTGGGCGCTGCTTACAGCCAGAAACAAACCGCCAGAGTTGGCAGACCAGTGGGCAAAGCAGGTTTACAGCAATGGTCTCTCCAGACCTCAAGAACATGGCAGTAAGAAGAAAAAAACTGCCCTAAGAATGTTTTGAACATGATCTGGCACCATGGGACATCCTCCATGGATACCCACACCCCGAGTCTTTCTGCTAATGGTAAGCCACTGCCGGCCAGGGGACACAATGGCTTTGAGAATTCCTGGGACTATGAGTTTGTCAGGACAGTTGGCCAGCAGTATGGAAGATGCTTAGAGCAGAGCTAAGTCTGGAGTGGGCAAAAGCCTATGGATACATATTGATATGAACAGTGGGTTACCTGTGCAGACCCGTGATGCAGAATAAAGCAGCTACTTAATAGAAGAGGGATGGTGGGAGAAGGGAGAGAGGCAAGTTGATGCAGTGCAAAAATCTAAGAGCACAGAAACACATCCTGTGCGTGACGCTGCGTGTTGATGAGGATGAACTAATTACAGAGTTTTCATCTGGAATACTGTCAGCATGGCTGTGAATGCCACGCTGCTCCTAAAAGAGGCAGCGAAGCCAAAGGGTAACGCTAGTAAAAGGTCCAGAACGTGACCACTCACCACAGACGAGTGACGAGAGACTGACAGGAGTCCAATTAGTCATGAACGAGAGCCGAGCGCCCACGCAGCCACAGAGGACACCTGGCCCTCTGCTCCCACCGTGCCTCCCGCCCACGACAACACGAGCCCTGAGACCTGGGCTGGGCTATTACTCAGCTCGTCCTTGCACTTGCACACACATCTTTAAAGTGGGGGGGTGGTGGGGGGAAAAGAGAACTGTTTAAAACATGATGGCCTCCATTTCACTTTGCTGCATGGCATTTCACTGTAAGCCAATGCTACAGACAGACTTTCTCCCAGAAATGAAGTTTTTAAACCCTAGCACATCTGTCTCTGCCGCGGCAGGCTCCTGGGATACTGACATTATTCTCTTAGAGAAACGCCAGAAGCAAAATAAGAAAGAGAAGGACAAGGACAGAGCATCTCATGACAGACGGTTACTCAGGGTAAAGTCGCAGCGCTGAGCAGCTGCAATCAGAGGTGGTTTTAGCCACAGGCTCAGTCCCATTCCCCTCCTCACTTCTCCCCAGCAATTCTTCTGTTGTAAGAAGTCATAAGCGTCTTTGTAAAAGCGATCCACTTTTGTCCACAGTGATCAAATAGCTGTGACAAACTTTCAAAGGAAGGAATCTCATTGCAAATATAAAGACTGATACAAAGCACTTGTCCTAAGGTTGGTCAAACACATCTATCAACAGCGAGAGGTGGCAGCAAAACTGTTCAAGCAAGGTTGTATGTGTGGAAAGCTAATTTTTAACCATCTGATTAACAGCTGTATTTTTACTCAAGGTTTTAAGAATGATTTTACTGTAAAAACGCCCAACTGAAAACAAACATCAGAGGTGCAAGTGTTCACCTCTCGCCCACAGCCACACATGCTGTCCGTTGTTCTTCAGGCTGCAGACACCACCGACAGCAACATCTTGTTTCACCAGGCTGGTGACTTCTACTATATAATTCAGAAAGACATATATAACTACATCCTTCAGAGGGACATCACCTACGGCCTTTCCATGCATATGCAGTAATGATGGATAAATCAGGAACAGATCATTTGACATAGAATTTATTCCTCAAGGAGAGTATTTGTAAGCTATTCATGACACTCCCTTTGCCAGCATTTCAGACAAGACTTGCAAGTAACTACTCCGCTGAACAACGCTCACCTCAGCAAACTGCTTCTGAGTTGCCATCCTTTCAAATCAGCATTTTAAAAATAGGGAAAAAAAATATACACTACTTGCATTTGTTACAGTCAGGTAAAGTGTTACTGCAACCAGATATTCTACTGAATGTAAATTAATCTAAGCAGCAAAAGGTGAATAAATAAAGGCTCTCTGCAGAGATGTTAGACATAGCCACAGGTTCAACATTCAAGGGCACCATGGTCTGAAATTTGCAACTATGCAATTCTGTTCTGAGCAAGAGGCATTCTAAAAACCTTCCACAGCATTTTTGAACAGTCCGTGCCAGACTTATGTTTCTCACAAGATCTACTGTAAAACACAAAGCCTAGAGAATTAGCTCAGCCCCTTCCCTGTCCCCAAGAAAAACAAACAAAACACCCAAACAGTGAAAGTTTTTTGACTCAGAAGCTGACACAAATGGTTTGTCATGGTTCTCTTGGTACCCATAGTCCTTACACTGAAGAGCACCTGTCCCTGGTCTGTAGCTTGACCAGTTTGGGACCTGGTGCACTCCTCTGGTCCCTCAACAACCCTTCAGCAGCACAAGGTCACCACTGACTTGGACCAGTCTGCACTGCTGACATACACACCATGTCCTTCAGTAATCCCCGAGCCACTTCAGCTACCATTCTTATTTGCACCTCTATCAGAAACACTGCCAGCAAAATCCTCCTGCTGCAGGAATTATGAGCATCAAATAGAAACGAGCTGTTGCCCAGCAGCTTTCACACATCTCCCCCAACAAAGGCTTTCGGCAGAGCACTAACTCACCGGCTGCACAAGAATCAAAATAATATTATCTCAGGGCAAGTGAAAAACATGTTCCTTCTGCAACTTTCTTTTTACTTGCTGCCACCGAGTCTGATCCCTAGATTTAGCACAAAGCCTTTTCTTTGCATCTTTGCAACGTTTCATGCTATCTGGGCTTTGTTTTTAAATACTCTCTTAGAAGTCCTGAAGCTTGTGATAAACATGAACTCCTCCATCTCGAGGGAGGGAAGGCAGTTGTTCTCCCATCATCTTTCAACTGCAGGCAGGTCCTGACTTCTGGAACAAACTAGGAATATGTATGTCACTGGTGAGATGGGGATATTTTCCTCAAGGTGAAAGAATTTGAACAGTTTTGCAGGAGGAGGATATTTTCAAGTCTTGATACTACAGCAAATCCTACAAATAAAATTAGGAAGTTGTTCTTTGCTTCCTTAGCCCT